GGCTCATTGCCAAATGATTGAAAAATCTTTCTTTAAACACTTGCTATTAACATGGTATTTCTTATGAAATTTTGGCTGATCAATTTTACCATTATTATGTCTTAGAGGGCCCGCTACACATGTATAGGATATGATATTTGTTATATACAAGGATGATTTCTATTTTTGATTACTTGTAGTTAAATAAATAACAAAGTTAATTCTGAATCATCTGGAATAAGTTTAGCAGTTTCAATATGTTTTAAAAAGCAACTCTTTATGCATATTGAGAGTTTGTAACTATATTTTGAGGTTCTGAAAAAGCTGATAATACTATAGCATGTATTTATGATTTCTAAACTGAATCATAAGGGCTTTGAGCTACTTTACTTAAGTGTTCTGACTTACCACCTGCCTTTCCTGATTTATTTGCATTAGTGTAGAATTTAGGGGCTCCAGAAATTGGTTTTTCCTTTATTATCTGAGGGACAATCCAATTAGTTCATTTTATAAACTGGAGTCTCTTGCTTTGGGATGTTTGTTGCTAATCTCTCCCAATGAATTACTGCAAGCTCTTTGCCACTGTTCACTTTCTCCCCATAATGACGCAATTTCAGCATTAGTAAAAGGCACCACAATTTCTGCCGTGTTATTTTAATCTATACCATAAACTATTACTGAAGACCCGAGGGTGCATCCTAATGTTAGAACATTGAACACTTGCCTTGTGTGCTGGACATTTTCATAAGGGAACATCAGTTTTTTAAAAAAGAAGTCCCTACTAGACTTATCTATGGACAAACCTGTGCCTCATTTTCTTGATTGATGCTTTATGTGTGCGGGCCCAACTCACTATGTGTAATACTGGCCCTGGACTGGTGGTCCTTGGTGTGATAAAACGGCAGGCCAAGGAAACCTGTAAGCAGCACTCCTCCGTGATTTCTGGATCAGCTTCTGCCTCTAGGTTCTGGTCCTGGTTTTCCTCAGTGATGGACTCTGTCATGGAACTAGAAGCTGAAATAAACACTTTTATCCCAAGTTGCTTATGGCCATGGTGTTTATCATAGCAATATAAACCCTAAGACATATACAAGAGGCCATGGGTTGAGCAAACTTAGCATCACTATTACTCCCACCACAGGAAAAAATAATCCTGAACTATTGTTCTCTGTTTTCAGTTTTCTGAGGTTATTCTTTTTACTAAGCAGCATAATAAGTCTTTTCTTTGTATTCCTGAGAGGGGCCCTCACATGCTGCTGTTTGCAAAGGTCTCATTTCCTACTGACAGCAGCATCACCACCCTGTACAAGGAGTCATTAATACATTGGCCACACAGACCCCCCTCTGCTGCATTCTGGGACCGCAGATACTGGTGCAAGTGGGTGGAGACATTGATATAAGCTCACAGCCTCTTCCAAGTAGGAGGTGGGAGAGAGAAACAGCTGTCAGCTCCACAGCTGGTGTTGTCAACCCGAGTGGTTCCAACTTATTCTGGCCAGAAAGAGAACCTCCTCAGTCCATGAGAGATTTGCTGAACCAGAACCAATGTCTTAAACCTTTGGCAGCTCATGTTAACTTCCTCTAAAGAGGACAGAAGTTGCCTGGCTCTGCCTGCCTGGACACAGTGTTCTCTAGACATTTGTCACGCTCTTTAAGTGCCCCGTCCAGCTGCTTCTTCCGAGCAGCTTGCTTGGCGGAGCTATGCAATGCACAGGAAACACGTTTTCGCAGGATGCTTGTTTTCTTCGGCACGCACTTCAGCACATCCCATGAAGAGAGAATGCCTTTCTTTTCAGTCGAAAAGAAGGATAGATCCTTGCAACAGTGTAAGAAATAGTAATCTCCGCCAGATATGGTGATGCATGCCTTTAATCCAAGCACTCGGGTGATGGAGGAGGGATGATTTGAAGGCCAGTCTGAGCTATATAGCAAGGGTGTGTGTCAATACTAAACCCATACAGAAGAAACAGCACTCTCCATTGCTATTTTGTGCTGCCTTTTTTTTCTGTTTATGAAGAATGATGGTAGCTTAATGAGACCCCTCGTGTTTTAAGAAGTGAAAGGAAAATGAGCCCTTAAGGTGTATTTCTAGTCCTTACTGGAGTATGAGGGCCTTGAATGCAGGTTCCAATGACCTTGCCTTCTCTAGATTACCTCAGACCAATGCCCGTGCCCAACACAAGCGTATTTGCTATATTGTATCGAACACAGATAAAAGAATTTGTATTCCTTGATTGCTAAATGTATGCTTACAGAGCAAGTCTTACAATTAGAAGGGAAATTGTAGTTTGCTTATAGCTTTCATGCTTTGATAATTTGTTCTCTTTCAGTGTTGTGTAGCAGTTTTAGTGCCTATAAATGTTGTTATAGTGTTTTCATATACATGGGATGGAGCAAGTGTGTCTTGTTTCTAGATTGTGTCAGAGTGAATAAAATATTAATGTCATTCATATATTTCTACAATTCTGCAATTATTTTCATCCATATTCTTCTTTTCCTCCTATTTATCCATTCTTTTCTTTTCTAAAATTTTCATTCTTCCTCTCATCCTTCTGAAGGCTGGAATTAGAGCTATGCACCCCCATACTAGATTTATGTTAGTATGTATGCAGTGCTGAGGGCTCAGAGGAGGGACTCCTAAAACAAGACTAGGATATGGAGGCATTGAGAGACACACAGAACTCACTCCATTGACATAAAGGGACGGGATCTTGAAAATGAATTGTGGTTGGCCAGTGAAGTAGAAGGAGGAAAATAAGAAGTGGAGGGCACTTTGTACAAAGACAGAAGGTTGTTCCAAAGCCGTAACACTGTCTATGCTGGATAGTTTTATGTCAACTTGACAAAAACTAAAGTCACCCAAGAGGAGGGGACCTCTATTAAGAAAATGCCTCCATAATATCAGGCTATAGCAAATCTTTAGGGCATTTTCTTACTGATTGATGGGGAAGGGTCCAGCCCATTGTGGTGGCGCTATACCTGGGCTGGTGGGCCTAGGTTCTATAAGAAAGCAGACTGAACAAGCCAGTAGTAAGCAGTACACCTCCGTGGCCTCATCATTAGTATTGCCTGTCCTGATTTCTTCTGATGAACTATGATGTGGAAGTGTAAGCTAAATAAACTCTTTCCTCCCCCAAGTGACTTTGGTCATGGTGTTTCATCTCAGCATTAGTAATCCTAATTAAGATTCCCTCTTCGTCAAGGTGTATAAACCCGAGTCCAGTAGTCAGTGCTGGCTTTAAGAAAAGCTATTTTAAGTAGTTTGTGCTACCTCTTAATGGCTAGGTGTCTTTGGATAAGCAACTTAATACCTAGGTGCCATATTATTTTACAGATACTAATTCAACCCAAATTAATCTGTACATTCAAATTTAGTTGTTGGAAACTCTTACAATTCACCAGCAGTCTACCTTAAAATGGAATTCTTACCAGCATGAAACACTTTTTTTTTAAATTGGTGACACATCACTCAAAGTCAGCATGGTGAAAACAGTTCTAGAAGACCTCTATTGTTTGGCTGCGTTTTCTTCTAAATTACCTCACTAGTTCATTTCTCCTGAATACTTAGTGACTTTTCTAGCCCAAAGTTCCAGAAGTCCTTACACAGTCCTCCCCCAAACATGGTCAGGTGTCTGTCTCAGCCCTACTCCACTGTCTGGTACCACTCTCTGTCTTAGGTTTCTATTGCTGGGGTAAAACACCACGACCAAAAGCAAGTTGATGAGGAAAGGATTTCTTTGGCTTACAGATCAGGGAAGCCAGGGTGGAACTCAAGGCAGCAAGTTGGAGGCAGGGACTGCAGTAGAAGTCGTGGAGGGGTGCTTCTTGTTGGCTTACTCCTCATGGCCTTTTCAGCCCGCTTTCTTATACATCCCAGGACCACATTATACAACCCATGGGTCACACCACTCAGCAGTAAGCTAGGCCATCCCACACCAACCATTAATCAAGAAAATGCCGTGCAGACATAATCTACAGGCCATCTGATGGAGGCATTTCCTCAATTGAGGATCCGCTTCCTAAATACCGTGAGGAAAACATCAGGACAATGAGTCGGTGGCAAATGTGGCTGTCAGCATTTCTTTAGAGGCCCTGTGACTTCTACTTGTGCTGAGCAGCAGAGAAGTTAACTACATTTCATCGCCGAGGAGAGTGAAGACTGTGTCCCCATCCCCATAAAGCTAGCTGTGAATTCTTGTTTCCTATCTAAATCTCCCAGGATTTCCCTCCGTTAGCCTGTAATATGCAGCCGTAAATACTTCAATAACACCAAAGAATTCAGTGGGGGAACTCCTTGATTCCTGTTGTCTTGGAATAGAGGCTGTTGGAAGTCGTTCAGATTCATACAGATTAGCCTTTCCCGGACACATTTGCTTCACGGTTTTGTTTCTTTTTTCTTTTTAAATGATGAAATGAATGATAACTATATGTGAAGGGAAGAAAGGGTGTGCAGCAACAGAGACCCGCCCCCCTCCCGCGAGTGCCATTTTTGGAGCAAGAGCTTGCAGAGACGTCAGCTCTAACCAGTAGGAACTGCTTTTTTTTTGTGGAGTACGGTTTTTTAAATTATTATATTTTTTAAAGAATATTATTTTCCATATCAATTCCAGTTCCCTCTCCCTTCCATCCTCCCACTCCCCCCACCTCCTCCCCTCCCGTGCCATATACTCCTCAGAGAGGCCACTCATGGGAGGTCAACAAAGTCTGTCACATCACGTGAGGCAGGACCAAGACCCTTCCTGCTCTATCTAGGCTGAGCAAGAGATCCCTCCATAGGGAATGGGCGCCAAAGAGCCAGGAACTGCCTATTTTTGTAGGTCAAAAGGTTTGAGATTGTAGCTGAGGAAATCAAAACTGCTGAGCTCAGTGCAAACCAGCACATTCCGCGCTGCCTGTAGTTTTTCTTTGCTTCCTAGGAACGGCAGGAACTCATCACATGAAACCTGAACCTGTATCTTTCATTCTCATGCCATAGTACTAAAGCATATAAATTTAATGCCAAGCTTCTGTTCCATGTCTAGGAGAGGAAGAAGAAATTTGAAAAGGATGGTGAGAGGTTTTACTCATTACTGGACCGGCACTTACACCTGTCATCCAAAAAGAAAGAATCTCAGTTGCTAGAGGTATGTTCCCCAAGTCCGTTCCCGACTCCATCCTGTGCTGTATTAGAAACCACAGTCATTTCTGCTTGGGAGGTTTCCTCTTATAATGGCTCAACAGGGGCCATGGAAACATTTGTAGGGAATACCTGAGCTCTGGGCCCCAGGCTCTCTGAGTCTTGAGTCAGTTCTTCCACTACCTTCCCGTGGTGAGGAACTTCATTCCTGGCGTCAGTCCTACTGCTTGATACTTGAGGATCTCCAGGGTCACTTTCAATCCCAAGTTCCCAAGTCTGTGATTCTAGATGCTGTGTTCAGATAGATTTAAACTGGTATTGTATTTGGTATATAAGGTGCAGACAGCTGTCCTTGGTAGTGTTCCATTGCCTGTTTTGGTGGGGGCAGGCAATGCTGCACTATGGCTACTGCACAGTGAGACTATGAGACTTACACTGGTTACAATTCTCCCAAGCCACTATTTAATAGACAGCTACCAAATCGTCCTTACACTGGGTGGAACAGGAATAAAGGGACACCATACAGTGTCCATGTCCTTCTCCACCTTAGAGCTGGGATTCTAAATTAAGAATATGCATTAATCTAGCAGCAAGCCTCTTTCTGTACCATTATATGTATGTTTATATAATAGTCTTGAGGGACCCGGGGGATGAGGAGGTGAAGACTTTGTCTGAATGGAGGAATTCCCTCTCTGGAAGAATGGTGCCTTTCCAATTTGAGATAATCATTTGAAAAAAATAAAATGTATGACAAATAGAAATGGAGAAATTGCCCTACTGAAGCTAGTAGCCTCAAGGCTGAACAAGGCATGAGATAATCTTGAGAAGCGATTTGTCCAGAATTGATACTACTCTAAAAGACTAGTGAAAGACAAGATAGTGTAATCAAAAGCAGTGGGCTTACATCTTCCTTTTTTTGTCTTTGTGTGTGTGTGTGTGTGTGTGTGTGTGTGTGTGTGTGTGTGTTTTCTTTTTCGAGACAGGGTTTCTCTGTAGCTTTGGAGCCTGTCCTGGAACTAGTTCTTGTAGACCAGGTTGGCCTCGAACTCACAGAGATCCACCTGTTTCTTCCTCCTGAGTGCTGGGATTAAATCCTTGCGCCACCACCACCCTGCCCTTATATCTTGACAAGAGAGTGCAACAATAAGAAGAGAGAGAGAGAGAGAGAGAGAGAGAGAGAGAGAGAGAGAGAGAGAGAGAAAGAGAAAGAAAAACATGGGCAAGACATCAAATAGTGGAGAAATCTTTATTATCTGCAGCAGGCAAGGAGAGCACAGGGATCATTTCCAAAATTATCTGTCTGAACAGATGCTGTCTGAAGAAAAGGAGGATGAGGGAATTTTTAGAGAGGCTATTTTAATAGTGGCTCTCTGTGCACAAGCTGCCTATGCAGACAGAGTGGCTTTTCTCAAATACCTGTTCCTCAGACAGTCTAAAATTATAACTCATGCTAGGCAGGGAGTGCCCATGTTACCAGGCCCAGTGAAAACCTAGGGGTATCATCAGTCTCTACAGTACCTTCCATGCAGCTATTTTTACTCTGTAGTTATAGCTTATTGTAAGAGAAATTTCATGTGTTCTTTGCAAGACTACTGAGGAGTTTCTTAGTAGCTTATACAGTTTCTCCTAGACTGGGTTTTACATCTTTCCTCTTTGGTGGTTTTTCTTTGTATCCTTTCACTAAAATAAATGAAATCCGGGATTATGACTATATGTTGCATCCCCAGTGAGCCCTCTAAGTGACTACCAATCCTGAGGATAGTCATAGGGACCCATGGGGATACAATCCATATATTAGTGGTTTTTGCTATGAAGACATCGAGAATGTTCTAGTAGTTTTGTACACTATACAGGTGCCCTTCTTTGCAGTTTGTGGGAGATTTTGGTGTTTTTAAACAAGGCCTCATCCAGAATAGCCTCAGATTCTCAGAAGTCTCCCTGACTTTGCCTCTTTAAGTGTTGAGTTGTAGGCTTGAGCCAAGATACCTAGCCTTTGTTGACATTTCTTATGAACAGGGCTACAGGGCTAAAAATTGAGGTAAGGGCAATTGAATCAGTCACTTTTTTAAATGAAGAGGTTTTATTTGTAAAGCTATTTTTAAAGTTAGGTATGGTGGGTAATTGTTATAATCTCAACACCCAAGACTCTGAGGCAGGAGGATTGCTGTGAATTTGGGGGCAGCCTGGGTTACATAATAAGTTCCATATAGTGAGACTGTGTCTCAGAAAAGAAGAAAAGGAAAGAAGGATTGAAGAGAGAGAAGAAGAGAGGGAGGGCGAAGGCTGCAATTATAGCTTAAGGCCATCCTTGTCTACCTAGAGAGTGTGAGGCTAGCTTAGGATACATTAGACCCTGTTCCCCAAAAGGAAACAAAGAATTGTATCATTGCTAAATCACTTTTCTGTTTTATTGTTACACTGGCTCATGGTGCGAAGGAAGTCAAGAGACACTGTCTAGGATAGGTCTAGGCTTATTGTTTCTGGGGAGGGGAGAGGGAGCAAGGAGGAGTGTGTGCTGGGCTATATCCCTAGACAAAATTTCCCCCTTAATTTAACTATTTATTTGATGATTATACATTCACATGTGGTTATAGCAAATGAGAGAGATTTCATATACCTTAAAGAAAAATGGAATGGAAACTACAGAGATAAAGTATTGGATCTCTGGCTCACAGTCTCACTATTGTTAAGGTCTTGTGTTATTTATTACAATTGGTGAGTTAATGGGTTTTATGTTCTGTGGTTTATGGGTTGTTTATTTTTACCTTGCTCACGCTAGGCAGGAGCTGTGATACCGAGTTACTCTTCTTTTAGCCCCACCCTGAAGGGATTTGACAAGTGTATAATGACCCGTGAACAGTGTAGAGTCATGGAGAACAGCTTCATTGTTCTGAAATTCTCCTGGCTCCATGCTTGCTCATCTCCATCCCTGGCAGCCACTGATCTTCCTATATTTTCTTTTCTATAATGTCATGGACTCCTATAGCATGGATGCTTTTTATATTGACTTCTTTTATTTAGCAATATGTGTCTATTATTCCTGTATTTTTATGTCTTGATAGCTGTCTCATTTCTCTTCAGGGCTGTTGTGTATCTTATAGCCTATGGAAGGCTATTTTTTTTCTTCTGAACTTTGGCAGTTATTATTATGGCCATGATAAATATTAATGTGTAGATTTTGTTGAGGTTGTTTTGGTAAATGCTATAGAGTATGAGTTGGGTTGCAGTGTAAGCAGATGATTTATTTTGGAAGAATCCGTTATTTTCCAGCATGTACCATTCTTCTTTCCAACCAGCGCTAGACTTTATTTTGCTTCTTCTTATCAGCAGTTGGTGTTTTCAGTGTTTTTACTGTTAGCCACTCTGATAGGTGTGCAGTGGAATCACATTTCTGTTGTCATTTGACATTTCCCAGTGACATGTAATATCTCCTCATATGCTTAGCTGCCACCTGTGTTCTCTGGTGAGCTGTCTGATCTGATACTTAAATTTGAGTTATTTTCTTGTTGTTGTGTTTTAAGGACTCTGTGTGTGATGTTAGGTGCCAAGCCAATATCAGATACATGGTTTACAATGCTCCAAGTATATTCTTTTATTTTCTTAGAAGGGCCTTTGGTGCTGCGCCTGCTTTTGGTTTAATGAAATATCCATAATTTCAATGAATCATGCTTTTGATGTATTTAAAATTCTTGCCAATGTAAAGCCATGCAGATTATCTGCTCCCTCATCTTGCTTTGTAACAGCTCAAGGAGGTCTCAAACTTGTGTCTTGCTGCTTTAGACTCTTGAGTGCTGGCATCTGGGCATATCATCATATATGGCTAGATTTTCTCTGATTTTCGCTTCCAGTAGTTTTAAAATCGCGTCCTCTAGATTTGGCTATGGAGACGCACCCAGAAAATCTCAACAATATAATTACTTAAACAAAGCTAGCATAACTACAACATCAGTTGACGTGCCAATGTGGACAGTGAAATTTTTAAAAGTAAAAATTGGTGTTATTTTTTAGCACACAAACACATGTATTTCAGTGACATTTTTAGTTCTCCATTTTCTTCTTGTTCATGCTCTTCCTCCCCGATAGTCCCCAGTTCTGCTTTCATAATATATTTTCCACCAACCTTTCTTGTTTTCTCCCCCTCCCTTTAGACCTCCTGTTCTCTTCTAGAGCTTTCCCATTTCTTTGTCCTACAAAAAGACAGATACACATAAGTCCAGATACTGAGAGAGAGGAATGATGTGGTATTTTTTATGACTTTGTCTTATTTCACTAAACCTGCAGATTTCCAATCCTCAAAATTACATGACTTTATTTTTCTTTAGTGCTAAATGAAATTCAGTTGTGTTTTTGCATCTAATTTTCTGTATCTGTTCATCTGTTGATGGACATCTAGGCTGCTTCCATATCATGGCTATTATAAATCATGGAAAAATAAACATGGATGTGCAATTATTTCTGTAGGATGCCAACTTAGAGTCATTTGGGTGTCTACATAGGAGCCGTGTATGTAGCTGGCTAATACAGTACTTCCTTCATTTTGTAAAATCCCCAGTTACTATCATTGAAAATGTTTCTCTGTTCCATTCTTTTTCTTCCGTCATTTGTATTCTGAGTACACATATGGTACACATCTATCTAGCAGTTCTCAGATGTTTTATTTTATGTTGTTTACTCTCTTTGTTTTGACTTTTGTGTGGATGTACATTCAATCTCAGTGATTCTTTTTCCCCCCTGTGTTGTCCGGACTCTCGGAGCCCCGTACCTGCTAGGTGGGTGGTATGCTTTTGAGCAATCTCTCCAGGCCCAGACTTATTCTTTCCTCTCCCTTGTTCATACTGGTGGTGATCCCAATAAAGTATGCTTCATTTCTGTTCTAGGCTTTTCGATTTCTGGCATTCCCTTTGACTCCATGCTGCAGTTTCATCTTCTAATAGCACACATCTGTTGCTGTGTGTTGCTCTCTTTTTCCATTAGCGCCCTTTTCATTTCACCGTAGATGCTTACAGTCCGTGGTCTCATCGTTCTGCAGCCTCTGCCTTCTCTTCGTTAGTTTCTGATGCTTGTTCACTTGCTTTGGATCGTGGCTTTTTTTTAAAACTTTTCCTGCTTAAAAGGCAGAGAGGATGTTTGGATAAAGAAACGGATGTAAGCGCTCAGTGCGAGCTTTCGTGCTTGTTTGGCTAGGACTTAAGTTGGGCTTAGTTTGCTGTTGCTGTCGTTCCTTTGGAGCCCTTGCTTTGTCTTTGTGTTTTCTTAGCATCTTATTCTTAAACTGGGTAGTATTTCTTTTGTGAGAGCAGTGGTGCCCCAGTCTTGAGCACTGTTCACCCCCAGTGTCTGTTCTCCTGAGTTCCGATGCTCTCCATACACCTATAGTCTAGTTTTGGAGGCAGCCCTTATCCCCATGACTTTACTGTTGGATTTAAGGAGAAAGGTTCTTCAAGTAGGTCAGCTTTTTCCTTGATCTGAAAATCAGTTTGATGACCCCCAAGCTTCCTCCATGCTAGACTAGAAATAGAAAGCATTTAGTCTTTAATCTCTTGGCTTCATATTCCATCTCTGTAAAATACAGTAGAAATAAAGAAAACAATCGAAATAGGATATTTGCAGGTCACTCAATGCCTCTTTAACATTCCTGACTTTCAAAAATTTGACCATGCCCACTTGTGACATTTGTTGCCCTCTTTCTACAGGCAGACCTCCAAGTGGATAAGGAAAGGCACAGTTTCTTCGAGTCCTCCCTTGACTATGTCTACCAAATCCAGGAAGTTCAAGAATCCAAGAAGTTCAATATTGTGGAGCCAGTAAGTTCTATCTGTTGGTTAGTATTATAAAACATGTGTTTCCCAAATCCTCAACTGAATGTGCAGAACTGTGGTCATAAAAGTGGAAGCTTAAGGAATGAAGACGCCAGTCCATGCTCAGATACGTGTCAAGATACATGTCAAGAACGTCAGCACACACACTTAGATTTCTCTTGCTCTTTCAGAAGTGTTCACGCTTTTCCTTACCATGTTCACATTCTTTTGCTCTCCATTTATGATATTTCTTTTTTCCTGATTCAGTCCCTTCCCCATTTCTATGTCACACTTTATTTTTTCCTTTAAAAGTAATATTTTATTAGTTTGTAGAGAATTTTGTACAATGTGTCTTGATCTTATTCACCCAATTCCTTCACTTAACTCCTCCCAAACTCACTCCCATCACCCTGCTTTTTTTTTTTTTTTTTAAGAAAAGACTTTGTGCTATCTTGCATCAACTGTCCTGGCTCTTAACAATATTTCTGTCCCATTTTCTGTGATGTCCCCAGGGACTTGAGGGTGGGGGTTGTGTTCTAAGTGTATTGATTGGAGGCAGAAACTCTACTATCAGTTTATTTCTGCAGTTTGAATAGTTATGGCTTTCTGTAGTGTTCTTCATCTGCTTCAAAAATAAGCTTATCGAATGACGGGTGAGAGCTCCACTTATCTCTGGACAGAAGGACGAGTATTTAGAAAGAGTTACAGATTATGCTGGGTTAGTGGCAGGAGCAAGTTCTCTATGTATCATGGTCTGACCAGCCATAGGTAGCTGGCTAACTGATAAGTGCCAGATATGGATTCCCTCCTGTTAGGTGGACCTTAAATCCATTTAGGTGACTGTTGCCTGCGGATGTAAGGGCCGCTACTGTACCTTTCAGGCTATCTTGCCACAGTGGTCAGCATTGTTATTAATTGCCATTATAGCTGGATGGGACTTGATTACTTTCCTCCCTTGGCAGCTTGCATGGCTCCTTCTGAAACCCTGAGGGCTAATCCTCAGTGAAGAATTTTCAGGTCAGATCCAGATGAGTTCCTCCAAATCCTTCATCTGAAATGTGTGGTGTCTTCAGCAATCAGGTCTTATCTTCAAGTCTGAAAGTTACCAAAGACAATGGCAATAACCTCTGTTGTTTTTGGAGGGTCTCTTAGATTCCCATAACCAACAACTTAAAAGTAGGTTTCATGTGCCTGGCACTGGGTTTTTATTAGGTAGTGTGTATTCTTTTAGGGGGAGTATTATCACCGCAATTGATGTAGCTTCACTCAAATGACATGTTTCTCTTTGTGTACACACACAGACATGTGCACACACACAGGCACACATACACACAAAATCTAATTTTAAGGAGCTATTAAAATTTGATTTCCCCTACTGATTTTCTAAATATCTTTAGTGTTATTTATCCCTCTTCCCTCCCCCTCCCTTCGTGTTCCCATTCTTCCTTCCTCCTTAAGTAAGTCTCACCTACTCATTTTCCCTCTTCGAGCCACTGTACCCTACAATTTTCTTGTCTAGAACTCCTGCTCAACCCGTCCCCTGCCATGGTCTCCTTTTACTTTTCTGCTGTTTGTAGTTACTCTGGTTTATAGACTCACTTCTGAAGACTTGGGGTTAGGGTCTGAGTTACCCCACTCAATATAATATTTCCTGTTTTGGCCACTTATCAGCAACTCTCATGATTTTAGTTTTCTTTACATCTGAATAATACTTCATGATGTATAAGCACCATGTTTTCGTGATCTATTCCTAAATTAAAGGGCATTTAGAGTGTTTTCATTGCTTGGCTATCGTGCATAGAGCAGTAATGCTCATTGGAGAGTAGGAGGAGGAAGCCTTCGGGTGGATCACAAGTAGGTCATAGAGTCGACTGTAGCTTCTTGAGAATTCTCCACACAGGTTTTCAGAGTGACAGCACCAGTTTCCAATGCCAACAGTGAATGAGGGGTCCCCTTCCCCCATATCCTTACCAGCATTTGTTGTGGCTGTTTTGTGCATCTTGGCCATTCTGGGTGGGATGAGATGAAATGTCAATGTCATTTTAATTTATATTTCTCTAATTGCTAAAGATAATGAGCATGTTTGAGGTTTTTATTTTTTTGCCATTTTTATTTCCACTTCTGTGCACTCTGTTCATTTTTTTAATTTTTTTGGTTTTGGTTTTGGTTTTACAAGACAGGGTTTCTCTGTGGCTTTGGAGCCTGTCCTGGAACTAGCTCTTGTAGACCAGGCTGGCCTTGAACTGGCCTCGAACTCACAGAGATCCACCTCCCTCTGCCTCCAGAGTGCTAGGATTAAAGGCATGTGCCACCACTGCGCGGCTCTTTGTTCAGTTCTGTAGCCCATTTTTTAAAAACAGTTTTGGTTGCTTGTTTCCTTGCCTTTTTTTAATTTTTAAAATATATATTATAGATATTGCTTCTCTTTGGACTTCTTTTCCACTCAATAGATTTATTCCTTAGCTGTGCACAAAGGTTTTAGTTTTCTGAAGTTCCACTTGTCAATTGTTGGCCTAAATCCTGAGCAAAGGGAGTCCTGTTCAGAAAGTCCTTTCCTATACCCCAGTCTCGTAGCATCCTGTCTCTGTTTTCTTCTAGCAGTTTCAGGCTTTACACTAAGCTACTCAATTCATTTGGAGTCAATTTAGTACGGGTTGATAGGCGTAGGCCTCATTTTATTCTTCTACTTGTAGACATCCAGTTTTCCCGCCCTAGATGCTAAAGACACCATCCTTTCTTTCTTTCTTTCTTTCTTTCTTTCTTTCTTTCTTTCTTTTTCTTTCTTTTCTTTTCTTTTTTTTTTTTTGGATTTTCGAGACAGGGTTTCTCCGTAGCCTTTTGGTTCCTGTTCTGGAACTAGCTCTTGTAGACCAGGCTGGCCTCGAACTCACAGAGATCTGCCTGCCTCTGCCTCCCGAGTGCTGGGATTAAAGGCGTGCGCCACCACTGCCTGGCTAGATACCATCTTTTCTGCAAAGATTTTTGGCATCGTTGTCAAATATTAGATGACTGTAGTTACATTTACTAATGTTGGAGTTTTCTGTTTTGACTCATTGTTCTTTAAGTCTGGCTCTGTGCAACTACCATGCTGTTTTTATTGCTGTAGCCCTATAATAAATTTTGAGATCTAGACTGTGAATCCCACGGACATTTTTCTTTTCTTTCTTTTTTATTTATTTCTTGTGTCTTTCCCATCATGCATCTCCATCCCATTCATTTTCCCATCCCTTTGTATCCACCCTGTGCCCTTGCACCCCCCCTTCAAATAAAATAAATTTTAAGAGAAAAAAGAAGAAAAAAAGAAAAGAAGAAAAAAAAATCAGTCTCATTATGGAAGTTGTAGTGTAACCCACTGAGTTATACAGTAACCCCTTTATCCATGTACTTTACTTGCAAGTATTCATTACACAGAGTCCGGGAGGCTTCTGGTTTTTGCTACACTATTTTGGGCCCTCACTGGAACACCTCTTGGTTATCCTGCGGCTGCCCTGTGTTGTGGAGGTCCCGCAGCTTTGGATCTACAGGACCAATCCCTTTACACGCTCCAGCAGATGACAGATGAGGTGCATGTTGGGGCGGGACAACACATAACCCTGGTTCTGGGCCTTGGTAGTTGCAGGCTTGGTCAGCCTGTCAGCTTTCTCTTGTGCTTCCAGCAGGGTGCGCCCTCCCGCATTGCCTTGGCTAGTTCACCCCTTGCAGCAATGAGCTAGGGGCGGGGCCAGTTCCCCTGCTTTCACATCCTCAGAGTCAGTTCTTCCACACCTACACCTTCAGGGCCAGCTCTACTTACTGTGTTGCCCAGGGGAAACATAGGGCCCAGAGTTCCCTAGTACAGTAGCTGAGGAGTGGGCAGGGACAGCTCTCTACTCTTACGAATCCAGGGCTATCTGTTCCGTCTGCCTCAGGCATTGATGGGCAGACAGAGGTGGGCTGGGAAAGGGATGTCTCTCTACCCCGCCCGTGCTGCTGCATGACAGACGAGCAATGGAGACAGCTCTCCCATGCTCACAACATTGGAACTGGCTCACCCACCCCTGCCCGCCATCAACTGCAACAGCTCAGGGCAGACAGCCGACCCTACACCTCCTGTGGGCAGCACAGTAGGGCCAACTCCATTGGCACAGGTGTGGGTGAGCCAGCCTGGCAGTTGTGAGCCTGGGAGTGCTGTTCCCATTACTCGGTTTTCTTTTTATGCAGGATTTCTTTGGCTAGTTCCATATGAATTTTAGGATTTTTTTTTCCATTTCTTCGATGAACATGGCACTTTGATTGGAACGGCACTGAATCCGTAAATTGTTTTGGTAGAATAATCATTTTCACAATTATATTCTACCAACCCATGAGCATGGAAGGTGTTTCAGTTTTCTAGTGTTTTTCTCAATCTCTTTCTTTCAATTTGAAAGTTTTTCATTGTAGAGGTATTTTTTTTTCCTAGCTGGTTAAGTCCTAGGCATTTCTTGAAGCTGTCTTGTGTAGAAATGTGTTCATGGTCTCTCAGTGTGTTCGCTGTTGATATATGAGGTTGTTACTGAGTTTTCTAAGTGATCCTGCCACTTGGCTGAAATTGTTGCTTATTTCCAGTTTTCTAGAGGAACTTTTATAATCTCTCATGAATAATATATCATCTACAAATGGGGCAAATTCAACTTCTTTTACTGTTTTTTTCCTTTAATTTCCTTCTCTTATTGTTCCAGCTAGTGTTTTGAGTAGTATATTGGAGAGTCATGGAGACAGTGGACAGCCCTGTCTTATTTCTGATTATTATTATTATTTGTTTCTTTTGAGACAGGGTTTCTATATGTAGCCCTGACCGTCCTGGAACTTGCTCCGTAGACCAGGCGGGCCTTGAACTCACAGAGATCTGCCTGCCTCTGCCTCCTGAGTGCTGGGATTAAAGACTGCACCACCACTGCACTGCTTTCATTCTGATTTTCATGAAGTTGTCTTTGACTTTCTCTCCATCTTGGATAGTGTTGGCTGTAGGTCTGTCATATACACCTTTATTATGTTGAGAATGGTTGCTTCCAGTTCTACTCTCTCTAGGGCTTTTTTCATGAAGACATATTGGATTTTGTCAAAGACTTGCTTTGTCTGTTGAGATGATCATGGGAATTTTGTCTTTAAGTTCATTTATATGATTTGTTAAATTTATTGGCTTACTTTGTTGAACTAACCCTGCATCTCTGGGCTAAAGCTACTTGGTCATGATGGATATTTTTTTTTGATATGTGCCTAAATACAGTTTGCAAATGTTTTATTGAAGATTTTTGCATCTATATTTGTCAGGGATATTGACCTGTAAATTTTTTTTTGGTGTGTGTATGTATGTGTTTACCTGGTTTTGCTATTAAATAATACTGGCTTTTTAAAAAAGGAATTTGGAAGTATTCCTGTTTCAATTTTAAAAAAGCAATGTAAGAAATATTCTTCTAGATCTTCTTTGAAAGTCTTATGTTTTCCTGCTGTGAATACATGTGGGCTTGGACTTTCTGGCTTTCTTCCTCTTATGCTTTCAGAAAGTTTTTAAAAACTATCATCTATTCAGCCTGTGCTGCAAACCCATGGCACTTAACATTTAAGCACTTCCTGTTCTACTATTTTTATATCTGCCTTGTATCATTGTTGCTACTAAATGCCCTTTAATTTATTACAGCATTTAGTGTATTTTAGTGTATTTTTATTTGAAAATATGCTGACTTTTGATAAATGTTTTTATTTCTAGGTGCATTCATCACAGAAAAGTATAAAATAGTGCATAGGATGATCAAAAATCCCCTAATATAAAAATAATCTGCATTGGTTATATAGTATTTCCCCCTCCAAATTGTTTGCATATGTAATATATCCCTTTTTATGTTTATAATGTACACATATTTTTTTTTTTTGTTTTTCAAGACAGAGTTTCTCTGTAGCTTTGGAACCTGTCCTGGAACTCACTCTGTAGACCAGGCTGGACTCGAACTCACTACCTCTGCCTCCTGAGTGCTGGGATTAAAGGCATGTGCCACCACTGGCCGGCTATGATGTGTAGTTTTGCGTGTGCATGTGCCTACATATATGGCACTTGAGAATGTGCGACTGAGGATACTGGTGTTATTGCCCAAATTTTTTAATTCTCTCTTCTTTATTTTGTTGTAGTCCAGGCACTGTGTTAGACATTCATGTGACCACGTTGGCTTTATTCCACAGATGCAGGGTTGGTTCACCATATGATGCTAATAATGTAATAAATCATGTAAATGGACTTCAAGATAAAAAGCACATTATCTTCTCAATAGATGCAGAAAAGGCCTTTGACAAAATCCAGCGTGCCTTCCTGATAGTGAGAAAAGAATGCTTAGACGGTCTCAAAAGATGGAAAGAAAGTGTCTGACTTCAGATACTGGTAGTAGAAAAGGGGGGTTGCAGAAAGTGTGTTCTAACTGAAAGGTATAGGGCCCCTTGGCATAGGATTTGATTTGGATGTTAGCCTAAGCATCATGGAAAGCCACTAAAGGCTATTAAGTATGACCTGACAGGGGACAATTTTGTTGTGTGGAGAATGACACGACAGGGGTCGAGGATAGCAGTTGAGAAGCGATTGTAGACTTGGTGAGGTGACACACACTTGTCATATCCATACCAGGAGGGAGGAAAGGCAGGAGAATCATGAGTTTGAGGTCTGTCTGTGATTCAAAGCTAGACACACTCAAATTAAACGAGAAAATACTATAGTGATCTAGGCAAGAAGACGCATTCGCTTGAGTTGGTGTGGTGGAAGTAGAAACCGTAAAGGATAGCTGGGTTAGAAAAAATAGTTTGGAGGGTTAGGGATATAACTCAGAGGCAGAATGCTTGCCTAGCATATACAAGGGCCTAGGTTCTATCTCTAGCATTTGAAATGGCATTTTGGAGGAAACACTAGCAAAAACTGTTGAATTGGACTTAAAAGTGAGTTAAATAGAGATCAGGGCTTACTCTTTAGTTCCTGGTTTCACTGACTGTTGAGTGATGATATCATTTCTTGAGATGAAATTTGGGAGAGAAACAGGAAACATTATGGATATAAGCCTGAATGTGGTGGACGGATCTCTCTACCACATACTTGTCACTAATGTATGTGTATGTATGTGTCTGTTATGTTGTTTTTATGTATATACATACATACATACATACATACACTCATATATTATCTGTTACCCAAAATGCTTGACCCAGAAGTGGTTGAGATTTTCAAAAAATATTTTGAAATATTTGCATTCAAATAATGAAATATCGTAAATGAATTCCTAGTTTAAACACAAAGTCTGTTTATGTTTCTTAAACCCCTTATACTCATAACACAAAGATTTAATGCAGTATTTTTAGTGGGTTTACATTTTCTACAGTATGCCTGAGACTTAGCACATGAGGTCAGGTATAAAGTTTCCATTTTTGGCATCACATCTGTCCTAGAACGTTTTCAGTTTTAGATGTGATATCTTTTGGTGAGAGATACTGTACCAGTTTAGAGAAGAGATGTGGTTAGTCCCTGTAGTATCTAATTCCAGAGTGGCTTTGTGTGTAATCTAAAAAGACCTGGATTTGCTAGTTCCTTTCTGAGACCAAAGACAGCTGAAGTATTCAACCTAAGATGAGAGTTCTCAAGTGTGTCCCTGCTTGTGCCACCCTCACTGCTCCTAACAGTGTGCTCGGTACCCACCCTGGGGTGTCTTCCCTGACTTCGTGGTTCCTCCCTTCCCAGGCAGGGAGTGCTGGTGACAGATAACGGTAAGTTTCTAAAGGTGGCTTTTTTGTCTGTTTCTCCCAGGTCTTGGCCTTTCTCCACAGCCTCTTCATTTCCAACAGCTTGACTGTGGAGCTCACACAGGATTTCCTCCCGTACAAACAGCAGCTGCAGCTCAGTTTACAGAATGTGAGTTGCGTCTGGATGTCTTCACCTGGCTTTCCGAGGGGGCCCCAGGCGTCTTAACGTTGGAATTACAGGTTGTTGCACCGCTGCCCATTTGCCGGGACAAAGTGCTGTAGAGCACGAACGTGGTAGCATAGTGGCGCGTTCTTGCTTTTGCAGGTTTGACTCTTCCTCTCTTTGAGACTTCCTGCCGTTCACACCTATCTTCTAATCAGGAATGCCTCTGTTTGCTGGGATTTATTAAGTGTTGGTACTTTTCTGTATCTCTCGCAGATCAGAATCCCGCTGTAGGTGTATTTAATATAAGGCTTAGTCCTTAAGCTAACTCCCGAGTCAGTTAAGACACTTGTTGTGGGCTTTATCATTATGACTGCCCATGATTATCTTCTTCCTTCCCCCATTACTTAGTACAATTATACACGTGAATTTTCAAGGACTTCTCCATCTTGTTGTGCATGCTAGCTCTATAAATGAGCACAGACACCACATTTTTATGTATCGGGACATGAGAATTTACTCGTTTTATCACAGCCCACATTGATGAGTATTTATGAATACCATAAAAAGTACCCTGTGTAACACAATGTAGCAGTCTCTCGCATCCCTGAAAGAGGCGTCAAGGTTTGCCTGTCTTAGAGGATCATATATGTGCTTCTAGTAGAGATATAGTCACAGATAAATCATAATCCCTCAGTATTTGTTGCTACATGGAATCAGAGCAACATATTGAAAGGGCATAGAGAATGCAGCAATTGGTAGTCAGGGAAGGGATCACCAAAATCAGGACATTGGACAGAGTGCTACAGTGCATGACTTCATAGGTGTGTTTTCCAACTCAAAACTGCTGATAAGATGCTTGCTTAGGGGGACTGGGACGTACAGTTTTACCTACTTTTTTCTTTCTGCATCTATTCCTTCCTTCTGGGTCCTCTCCTTTACCCGAACGTGAGAGCACCTATTTTCTGCTGACTTACCAAATCTTTCTACAATCAAGTTGACTCCTCTGCCATGTGTCACTTGACAAATGTGAGCTAATACCAAGCGTTTGCATGTGTACTCATGGCTGACTCATTGTTAGTACCGTTGACAGCTGGGGCCAACCGGTGCCGTCCCTGTCTCCTTCACTAACATAGAGAAGTTGCCATGGTAATGTTGTCTTTGGGAACTTTCTCCCTAGTTGCCCTTATTGTAAAGAAAGGGCAGTCTAATCTCAGAATTTTAATGTTCCTTATTTACTTGAAGCTTGAATTAACTCATTGGGTCAAACCTCTTGCTCCTTGTGGTATTCGTGTTTTTGTGCCCTTTCTAGTTCGTAATACCATTCATTAAACTCTAGAATTCTTTTCTAGTTACTACCATTCAGCAGCCTTCTGTATGTTTTAGCACATGCTGTGAGCAGAGAACTCTCTGTACTGTATCTCTGACCTATAAATACGCAGTCTGGTTGGTGACAATGCTGATAACGATTGTAATGATGTCTTGACAGACCAGAAATCATTTCTCCAGCACCCGAGAAGAGATGGAGGAACTTAAGAAAAGGATGAAAGAAGCTCCTCAGACATGCAAACTTCCAGGACAGCCAACCATCGAAGGCTATCTCTATACCCAGGAGAAATGTGTGTGGGCATGCAGGGCCATCCCCTGGGCTCCAGTTGGCTTGCCTCTTTGCCTTTCTGAAGGCTGGGGACCCCTGTCTCCGTAGATTCATGTCAGATACAACACCTTGGAGGGCAGGGTGGGATCAGAAGAAATACAAAAGGGAGAAACTTGAAGGGGAGTTAGGGTTGCCGTGACTCTAGAGTAGTAAGATCTGGAGTTTTTCCTCTGAGATTCAAGATGAGGAATGTTCATTGTGTACAGTGAACTTTGTTTGGGTCAAACAGGTAGGGCCAAGAAGGCAGAAAGATCATATTCTTGCATATGCTATGTGCAGTGCTCTACAGATCTCACACCATTTCATCTTTGATTCCAAATTCTGTTCATTTTACACCAGAGACCACTGAGGCTTAGATCAGGCACTCTATCTATGATCCAGTTCAGGTGTATCCTGTGCCAAAACTGATACTCTTTACAGCGTATCCTATCCTACCTACCACTCTCAGGGTCTGTCCAGTGTAAAGTGGTGAGCAGCACCCTAGTTTGCTCATCGCTTTGTGTTCGAAGGACTCTCCATACACGACCACCTAAGCAGTCTACAGTGCAGTAAAGTTGCCCATAGTTGAGAACCTCTGCTACGCACTGTACGGTGCTTCTGCGCCTCAGTTTTCTGTCTTGTCAAATGGCTGCCGTTCAGGTGAATGAATGCTCACCGAGCATCGTTTCTGCCAAATGCCATAATGCCATGTAACACATTGAGAGTACAAAAACAAAACAAAACAAAACAAAACAAAAAAACACACAGAGAGGTAACATGTTTTGTTTCTTTTTTTTTTTTTTTTAATCTCAAAGCATTTCTCAGACTGATAGGAGAGATAGGAAAGTATATTCACAAGACATTTTGAGCACCCTCTTTGGGGCATCTAAGAGCTTCTCTGAGGAAGTGATGTTCGAGCTAGAGCGTGAACGTGCACCGAGAGTGGGGCAGGTATAAAGAGAATGGATAGGCGTTGGTAGAGAACTCCAGGTGTGTGCTGCAGTATGAGTAGAGGCGCAGGCGTGTTAGAGAACAGGCTTCGTGCTCAGGTCTTTGTTTCTCAAGGATAGCCCGTGTTGTCCTGATGAAATTATTCATTCTAAGATATATGTCGTATGCAATCCATTTTAAATACGTGTTGGGTTTACGGTACAAATTATATGCCCGTTTAAGTATTTGGGAACTGAATGTAATTCAGTGACACAGGGACATAGAGGCGAGGGTGCCCAGTGACAAGTCCAGAATTGTCAGTTTGATCAAATTATGCAGGGCCTTGAGGGTGGGCTAGGTTGCTTGGAGAGAGTAGGAAAGCCTGTGTGATTTACTTTAAAGGAACGCTCTAGCGAAATGGTGAGGACAGCTTTGCTAGGAGGGAATCAGAAATGGGGCAATGAGAAAAGTCTGTTTGAAATGATCGATGGGAGAAAAAGTCCATCTGTATTTTATTGGTAAGTGTGGTAAGTATTAGGAAAGCAAGACAACGATAACATCCTTTAACTAATTCATTGCTAAAGGCATAGGAGAAGTTGAGATAGCTGGAGGCGAGACATGCAAGGGTTGGAGTGGCTACAACCCAGTGGTCGTCCAATGCGAGGTTCCCCGAAAGAGGAACACTGGCAGGGCTTTCTAGCTTGTGGACGCATAGGTGGGTCTATTCCTAGGAACGGTTGCAGGGAGAGTAGGTTTGAAATGAGCCAGGAATGGAGATGGGAAGCAGTCGGTGAGGATCTCTGTGGGTACAGTGGGTAGAGAGTACAGGCACGGGGCAGCGATGGATCTGAGCTTTGTCTGTGAAGAGCAAGCAGTACGCTGGGACTCGGTGCTTTGGGTTCAATTTCAATCACTGGAGAAAAAGAAAACAAAAACAGTAAACATCTTCTGCTTTGGGGAGCTGAAACACTCTACTAGCTCTCTCTTTCCTGTCTTTGTAGGGGCTCTGGGGATATCTTGGGTGAAATACTACTGTCGGTATGAGAAAGAGACCAGGACACTCACCATGACACCAATGGAACAGAAGCCAGGTGCTAAGCAGGTCAGTTCTTGTTACTGCTGCTTTGTGGGCCCATTTGTGTGAGTGCATCTCAAGAGAAGAACATATAATGACAAAGTGTCAGACAATGAATTCTATCACTGTCACATAAAGCCAGGATTTTACATGTTCTCTTTGGCCCAAGTTTACGTTGGCTGTGACTAAGGTTAGGCCTTCGTTATTACTTAGTTTGTGTTTTGAGAAAAGCTCTTCTTCTGTGACCCAGGCTGGCCTTGAACACATTGTGTAGCACACGTATGGCTTGAACTTGCAGCAAGTCTCTTGCCTCAGACTCCTGAGTGCTGGTATTAACAGGTGGGTTACATCATACACAGGTCCTAGCAGCAGGGTTTATGATTGCATCTCTATGTTTTCAGCCTCTTTAGTATTACAATTGCTCATTGCTTATACAGAGAACTTTTCCAAAATGTGGATGATGCTTCGAAGTAGTGAGTTTTAAAAATATAATTCCCAGAATGCCTTTATTCAAAGTGTGTGTGTGTGTGTGTGTGTGTGTGTGTGTGTGTGTGTGTGTTGGCTGGTGGTGGCACACACCTTTGTTCCTAGCACTCAGGAGGCAGAAACAGATGGATCTCTGTGAGTTTGAGACCAGCTTAGTCCACAGAATGAGTTACAGGGCAACCAGGGCTGTTACACAGAGAAAACTTGTCTCAAAAAACTGAAAAAAGTGTGTGTGTATATGTGTGTGTATGTGTGTATCTTTCTGTCTCTCTCTGTCTCTGTCTCTCTGTCTCTGTCTCTCTCTCTCTCTATATATATATATATATACATATATATATATTTATATTCACTTTCTCTCTATGTGTATGTGTGTGCGCGCGTGAGCGTGTCTGTATGTGTCTGTTGCCTGAAGTTAGAATCACCCACACCACATTAAAATCTCTGCAAGTAGTTCATGTTTCTTCTGTCCTTTTCAAGCCTTCTCCTTTTCAAAGTGCCGAGGTAAGTTTACCAGGGAGAGGGTCGTTTACTCCCCTTTCCATGCATGGCAGATTCTATAGGTACAAACTGATCTTCACACAATTTATTTTCCCTTTCATTTGCTCTCATACCTGCTGTGAGTGTACATCTTTTAACTATTTTCCTATTGTTGGAAACTTTAAGTATACACTCGAAGACTCAATTTAGGTGGCTAGGAATTTGGAGAAACCTGCCTGTTTCTGTTAATAACCGTTTTTGTAGATGTCCAATCCTGTATAGCTTGTATGTAGAAAACTCGAGGGGACTGATTTTGATTGCAGACTCTTGGAAACCACTTTTTGCCTTGGTCTTTAAGTATAGAGCCTTCTAGTGTACCTTAAATGTAGGTTCAACCTGGGGTACACCCTTAGGTAAATGTGTAAGTAGGTTTCCACAAATTCATCTTGGGCTGCAGCACAGAAACTGTCCCCAGTCAGGCTGAACGGGTCTGTTGGATCTGCGTGGTGAGTGCTTATGAGCAATACTAGCCGCAGTCTTTTGGTTTTCCATTTTATGTTAGGCCATGGGAGTTGTTGAGATGGGGTTCGCAGTAGCCCGGGATGGCTTCTAACTCATTTTGTTGTAAAGCCTGAATTCCTTATCCTGCAAGTTTCATTTCCTGAATTCTGGAATTACCCAAGTGTGTCACTATGACCAGTTTATGTGGCATTTGGGGTAAACCCTGGACTTTGTGCTACTTGTAACTGAGCTACTTCCTATTTCTACTTTTTATTCTATACAGAATATTGTCTGGAGTCTGGACATTAACTCTCTTTTCAGAGAAAGTAATAACTTTTAGACTTTTTTTTTGCATTCCTGTTCCAAAGAGCACTGTGCCAAAGAGAAAATCAGTAGACCCCACTTTTGTGTGCTCCTAGCATATGAGAACAATTAAGTTTTCTTTCCCCCTTGTTTCATTGAATGGACTATGGCAAACCTGCGACTGTGGGAGCCCAACAATGTGCCTAAGCAGGCTTCTTCTTTTCTGAGACAGAGTCTCTGTAGTCCTGACTGTCCTGGAACTCACTGTGTACAGTACCAGGCCGCTGTGAACTCAGAGATGCACCTGCCTCTCCCTCCTGAGTGCTGGGACTAAAGGCATGCATGCCTGGCCCTGAGCCTGAGCGCTTTTAATGTAAGGAATGGAAAGAGGAACCAAGCTCCCATTGAGAAGGTAGTGACCGAATAGAAGTAGTTACTGAATTCACTCCGTTTGTATTTGGAAATAATTTTTTCTTGTCAATCTTCTGACACCATTTCTAGTGGTACTTTGTGTTTCTGGAAGGTAAATAACAGATAAATGATTCAATGATGTTAGTAGTAGTAGTAGAACCACTTTTTCTTGAATGCTAACTGTCTTCCAAGGATATATGCTACCGTGTACCTTATTCCCTCTCTTAGCGGCACTGTAGAGCATATATCATGAACCTAATTTACAGATGAAACAATTGGCCCTCTTTCTTACTGTGACACTTACCAGTGTTCCCTAGTAACTGTGAGGTCTTACTTATGATGCTCGGTTTACCAGTCTCCTTTAAAGCAGTATTTTATCAGAATTGTATCTTCCCATGTTAGACATAATGGAAAAGAGAAAGAGTGATGGGTTTTGAAATTAGTTAACTGGCTTTGTGGGCCTGGTGATGTGACATGGCAGGGCACTTACTAGAAGTCTACATTTGTGCCGCCCCACCTCCCAGCCCATCCATACATTAAAACTAGTTCCGCGGTAAACTTGCCTTTTGACCACAAGTTAATGATTTCTTGTTACTCGGGCTCCTCTTCCTCATGAGGAAAGTAGAAAGGGTGATGATTGTGTTCATAAATTCTTCTGAGCCCTGTTTACTAGGGACCAGGGATACATAGACGAATAAGACATTATCTACGTCCTTAAAGCTTTCTCAGTCAGGTGAGGCCCTGGAAATAAGACATTTTCCCATAAGTTACAAAGCATGGGGCAGGCCATGTGTAGAGTTGGAGGAGAGCTGAGCGTGGTTTATAGGACAAGTAGCAGCCTCTTCAGACCAACAGTCACTTTGGGTGGAGAGAACCGAACATGCACTGTCATCGAGTCATTAAAGAGCAGGGTTTGTACGTGAAGTGTTCTACACCCGTGGGAGATGAAATACGTGGTAGTGGCTGAGATGCAGCTGGAGCGGCGTGGCTGGGGTCTAGGGTCCTAAGCTGTCACACTGCTGATGCTGAATGGTGTGAAGGCTAAAGAGAGAGGGTGCCTACGTGACCGTGTCACCCACTGTAAGAAGCTTGCACAGGACACCCCAAGTGTTAGGATAAGACCAGCATACTGAAGGCTTAATGGAGGGTTGGGTTCTTTTAGTGGAAACAGAAAGGATTGGCCGGCACAAGGCCAGAGGCTGGGCTGACCACAGTGGAAACAGTACTCTGGGCTCCTCAGGTACACATGGTGAGGAGGGCAAAATGCCAACCACCCTTACCCCAGCTCCCACCCTCTCATTGAGGTGGCACAGTGGTTCCCTGGTTGGGCTCAGGGGCCCTGACTGACTTCAGACAGCATATTTCAATGCAATTAAACAGGCAGCCTTGTTTCCTAAAAAATAAGTAAATAAATAAAAGGCCAAACACACCGAGAGAAGTACCCAGTAATTAACCAAAGAGCATCAAGATCTGAAATTATGTATACACTGAGTTTCATTTATACACTTTAAATTTTGAGGCCGAATCTCACCGTGTAATCCAGACCAGCCCTGAATTTGTTCTTCCCCAACGGGTTGGAGTGTTGAGATTACAGGTGTGTGCATATAACACAGTGTCTGAACTGGTATAAATCTCAGCTCTGTGATCTAATTCCATTTTGAATTTGAGTAAGTTGGTATTGGCCTAGGAGTTGTATTGTTTGGATGGCCTAGTGCCATAGGTACAGGTCTGGAGCTTAAGAAGCGTTTCTGATTTTGAGGCAGTAGGCCTATGGTGCTATTGTGATTAATAGATTGTGAAGTTAAGGCTCAAGAGGGAAATTGATTTGCCAGGATCACATAGCCAGTAAATGGCATAACTAAGGCACTACTCCAGATCTTAAGCTTCCTAGTTTAATACTACTTTGACCTTACTAACTCGCATGACATTCAGGCATTTTGTTGCTCAGATTCTGCTCTAAGTCAGGGCTATTGTGAGGGAAATTTGTGTAAAACAAATGCAGAAAATAATAAGCAATCAATTAATTAAAAATACCTTGTATAGTATGTGGTTCATTGTAAGTGCTAACTAAACATTACCTCCCTTCCGGTGTCACATTGTTCCTGTTGGGGGACAATAGAGGGAAATAAACAATGGCGGATCAGATAGGTTGTCTGTGGCCACCAACAGGTTTGGTAGATTTGTTTTTCCACAGAACTATTATGAACCACACTATTCCACATGTGTCCGATATCAAAATGCTGCTTTGATTAATAAACAAATGAGCTTATTTCCCCACTCTTTCCCTACCTCTAGAGAGATGGTTTTTATGGTGTTTGTTATCCTGAAGGCGTTCACTACCACATCCATTAGGAAGCTTGTATGCTCAACTTTTCTCATACATTCTATAGATGATCTCAGATAGCTACTTCCACGGCTGCAGCGTCCCTTCTCAGAAGCTTCATGAAAATTTTATTGTGTATACTTAATGCTGTTCGGGCAGTCCATTTCTCCTGCAGTGCCCTTAGGTGATGTGTCCTGGGCTTCCTATTGGATCTGCCTCGCTTGGGAAGGCCTCCGTGAGCGGTTTCCCCCAGTCGTGGCCATTTAATGCTTAGAATGGTGAGACACCATCTACCATGTTATTGTAAGATTTGAAGGTAGCGGTTCTCAGTGAGTCAACACATTGCTCCTGGTGTCTTGCTTGACACCATCCAAGTGACCCTGAAGACACAACAGGAGACAGAAGACACTTCTGTGCATTTTGAATACATGCCTGTTACTGTTTCTTTCATATCAGGGACCTGTGGACTTAACATTGAAATACTGCGTGAGAAGAAAGACAGAGTCCATTGACAAGAGATTCTGTTTCGATATAGAAACTAATGAAAGGTAAGTTGGGATACTGGGAATTTATGGGGTCACTGTGTACCATCCATGAGTTTAGCTGGGTCTTGTATTTTTCTCTCTGATTTCTTGTTGCTGAACAGGAGCAATTTATATATAGGCCAATGCTAGTCCTGCCCCTTAGTCTGCCCTTCACAAGGGGTTCCTGTTAGACTAGGTTTGGGGCTGGTTTTTTGTTTGTTTGTTTTGTTTTTGATTTTGATTTCTGTATATCCCTCAGTCATATTTACCTCACTGGCTCTGGGCAGAAAACATCTCCCCTAGAATTTAACTTGCTGTCACATATATAAAAATTTGTTTTTTTTTCTCAATGCCGCAAAACTGACAGAATAATCATGCTTGTTCTTTTGAAGATGCTCTTGTATCACTTAGGGAGTAGACTGACACAGTTTTGAAAGGAAGACAGATAGGGCCAAGGCTAGAGGTGATATTGGGGAGTTTTTTCATACTTACTGTAAAACAGTGCATGTTTCTCCTACTTTGAAGACATGTATGTGAACTAGAATAGTTTATTGACCCCAAACATTAGAACCACTGCTAAAAAATTTGGGGCATGATTGTATTGTTTCTCTCCAATGCCTTCTTTTTCTCTTCCCTAAAAACAAACAGTTTAGTGAAGGATAATTGCACCTCATACTTTTATTTTTCTGAAATTGAAAATGGATTTTTTTCATACAATACATATGGCTATGATCCCCACTCTCCCAGCTCGTTCCAGATGGTTTCCATCTCCCCGCCCATCCAAGTCTACACCCCTCCTTGCTCACGCATTAGAAAACAATCAGGAACAAAAAATAAGATAAAATGAAAACAAACAAAGTTGAATAGCACAAAACAAACAAACAGAAAAACAAAGAGCTGAAGGAAAAGACTCAGAGGCTCACGGACTGGCAAACACAGAAATACTCTAAAAACACAAAATTGGAAACCATAATATGAAAGCAAAAGATACCTATCCTTTAAAGTGAAAGCATTTAACATTGTGATGATAGGCATGCTTTCTGGTTAAGAAGTTGGTTCAAAATTCGTCGAATAAGCTATTATTATTATTATTACTATCATCATCATCAACTTTATTTTGTATACCAGGCACTGAGTAATGGAGAAGAATTTTATAAAATGATCACATGGCTAGAAAGGACCTTAATAAATTATAAAATCATAGAAAAATCATTAGGGACTGATATCAACAAGATTAGTTAGACTGAGAGATTAGGACATTTTCCTATCCAGAAATAAGTAACTATTAGCCGTTTGCCCTTTTTCAAAATTGGGATATTTTAGGACCCTCATGATTTTGGTTTGTGGGTCTTTATCATGTCTTTGTTAATAAATAGATGATCTCAGTCAAAAGGACTGTGATAGTGAATATTGCTACCAGTAATGAAATGATTGGCGTGATTGGCACCCATTTTCCTGATAACATCAGGCCCTATAGGATTAAAAAAAAAAAAAAACAACTGTGAGCTCTGACTTTCCTGTGTGAACCTGTAGCATCTCTGGTTTTTCAGCATCAAGATTTAATCACTTTTAAGTGATTGAATTTTCCATGTCTGATTCCATGTCGATTCCCTTTTTGCCTTAAATTTGCCAGCTACGTGTAGCTATTTTCCCTAACTCAAAGCAATCACAAACAGTTTGGCCCTGGGCGAGAGACTGTAGCACTTGTTTGTATATTTCTTGCACAATGTGCTAAGCTTGTCTTATTGTAGGTTGTAAATGTATTGTTAATTCTTAGCTATGTTGTTTTTATTCTTCCCCAGAATTCTGAGGACTATTTAGAGTAGAGGCCAGTACCTAAAGTTATGATGCATCCGGGACTTTAGTTACCATATTATTTTCCCTTTAAAACCTTGTCTTACTGAATCCCTTCACACCATTTTATGCATGAGGACACTTTGCTGCCCGAGGGACCAGCCTTTAGTAGCGCAGGGCTCAAAGGGAATCCACAGACATCACACTAGACTGTTTTATCTGAGGGGGCAAGGGAAAACGACACTCACACTCTCTCTTGACGGTTTCCTTCTTTATTCTTCCTCTTTAGTCTCTATTATTTTCCTGGTGATTTCCTTCTCTTATTCTTCATGTTTTCCTTCTAATTCTGCCTTTATTCTCTCCCTTACAGCTTATAAACCCCAGCAAAATCTTTCAGGCACTATTAAAATCACAACATGGTTATATGCTATTTTTCAAGTGAATGATTACAATGAATACAAGTAAAAACAGCATGTTTTCCCCATATTCCTTACATGAGTAAACATTTTACATATTACAGGTGAAAATTATCCCAAGAAGCCACATACATTCACACCCAAGCAGCTTGTTATGCATTAACGGTGTGAAAGCAAGCAAGACATTCTTTTATTGGCAAGCTGTGTTTTGTATTTACAAAGAAAGAACCAATTACTTTATTACTTATCTTGAGAGGTAATCTTATAAGGAATCTTTTTTAAAAAAAAAATATATTATGTATACAATATCCTGTCTGTGTGTATGCCTGCAGGCCAGAAGAGGGCACTAGACCTCATTACAGATGGTTGTGAGCCACCATGTGGTTGCCGGGAATTGAACTCAGGACCTTTGGAAGAGCAGGCAGTGCTCTTAACCACTGAGCCATCTCTCCAGCCCTCTTATAAGGAATCTTAAAGGAACCACAAATCTAACTTTTATTCATGAAAATTCAGCTCTACTTTAAATCTTTAGAGTTTACACCCCCTCATCAATTGTTTTTTATATCTGGAGACTGAGGGCAAAAATAGGTACAAGGAATTAATCATGGTCATCAGCCAGTCCTAGCAAGACAGACACATCACCTAATAATTCTTGGGCTGCTTTGTTCTGGTTCCCTGACCTTAAAGATTTCCTTATTTAGCTATGTGCCTTGTCTTCTTGGGATTTTCACCTCAAAGCTCTTTGACAGAATGTATTATTCTAACTTTTAGTTAAGTTATTTTCAAAACTTTGTTTCAGCTATGATGCACTCCAAAACCTGTGAACACATCTCCCAACGTTAAGATTAAAAGAATTTGCTGGGCGGTGGTGGCATATGCCTTTAATCCCAGCACTCGGGAAGCAGGGGCAGGCAGATCTCTGTGAGTTTGAGACCAGGCTGGTCTACAAGAGTTAGTTCCAGGACAGGCTCCAAAGCCACAGAGAAACCCTGTCTCAAAAAACCAAAAAAAAAAAAAAAAAAAAAAAAAAAAAAAAAAAAGATTAAACTCAATATAAACTCATGTGTGTATGACACCTCATTTTAATTTTTATTGTCAAAATTCTATTTAAATTAACATTATTATCAGTTAGACAGTACAGCTTAGGAAGAACTAATCTTCAAGACAGTTTAAAAAATGCCCAATGGGATGGTTCCTATGAGATAAACACTACATTATAGGCAGTGAGGATCTCCCCACACACTCATCCACACCATGCCCGATAGCAGACAGAGATGGCAACTGCAAGCATATGAAGGCACAGCAGAAACCAAAGACATTCTGGGCTTTGTGGTCTTGGGGCCTTGTGTCGCTGAGATTTACTCATCAGGGCTTTGTTTCCTGGCGGGCTGATGCCCTGAAGTCAGTTGCCATCTGTTGTTCCTCTGACATGGCCACCGGCAGGACACCAAGACTCAAATATATTAACTGACTCTGTAGCAAGGCAACACCCTGGTCTGTGGGCTCCACAGCCATTTCCTTTGTTTTCCTATGCTGTTATCGATTAAAATAATCAATATCATAATGAAGAGATGCGGACACACTTCTCTGCAAGAGGGACTGTCAGGGCTGTGGCAGCGACTTCCCCTCCTGCCTACCTGATCTCAGAAAGAGCCAGGCTTCCCAGCAGGTATCACACACATTAACTCACGCTCTCTGGAGTGCCAAGCAAAGGTCTCTTAATCCCTTTTTTTTTCTAGTTCTGAAAGATCTGATTTCAGTACAAAAATTAATGTTTGTTTCAATATTTGAAATGGTGGGCTCATATCACACAAGAGATTGGAGGGTCTTAACAATAGTTTCAGCAAGTGATGTTGCTTGCCAAGTGTCTCCTGCCTGTCCGATCCTGTTCTCGGCCTTTTAAATGTAACTTTCTTTAGTCTTCATCATATAGAGTAGATGCGGCTATTACCTCAAGTTCGCAAAGGAAGAGAAAGAAGCAAAGAAAAGTTAACCATCTTGAGTAACGTGACTGCTAAATGGTAGGACCAGGGCCCAAGTCCAGCTGTTTGAGTTTCTAAGGAAGGCCACTTCCTTTAAGTTCAAGATTATTTGGCTCGCTGGGTGAGGGGTATTTTGAATGAAACAGACCAGTGTGACAGGAATCTCCTGATGTCGGCACTGGGAAGTACTTCCGCAAAGGGTATCTTCCAGCACCCTTAGAGACGGAGAAGTGGCAGCGCAGAAAGGCCTAGGGATTGAGCCAGCATCACCGAGAGTTCTCGTTATTTCTCTTACATTCAGTACCTCGGGGTGAGGCTGAATGATACAGAAAGGCAAACTTCATAATGCTGTGGCTAGCTAGAGACTGACCGAGACTTCATGCCTACAGGAATATGGTCAACCCATCTGTTCTGAAGGTCGAAATATAATATAATAGGTACATTAATCTTTAATGTGTCCGGATGAAAACAGTGTCTTCGGTTCATTGCTTTAATACCCGAGAATGGGTTATATATAAGCATCAGAAGTTTCTTTCTTAGAGTTCTAAGGTTGGAAGGCCAGGGTCACAGGACTATCAGGTTTGGAGTCTGGGAGTCTTTGCTTCCTCATCCTCCAGAAAGAACACATTTCTTGTTCTCACATGGAAGAAGGGCTAGAAGGGAATGGACCTACCTCTTCAAACCTTTCTATAAAGGTGGTTTGTCACTTCTGGAAGACTCACCTTATTATTGTTGTCTCATTTAATACAGGAATTTTTGGAGGGTGCGTGTGGGTGTGTATTTATATTTCTAGACCATAGGAGATAGCCAACAAGTAAGTAGAATAAAAAAAAAAGTTCGAAGCAATTTTCCACAGAGAAGAAGCCTTATATTACTGATGTTAAGAATCTGGTTTGTGCAGTACATTGCATGCATATATTAAAATGTTCTAATAAAATCCATCATTTTGTGTGATGAATATCCACCAATTCAAATTATATAAAAAATGATGAAAGAAGCACAGGATACCATTCTCTCAGGTGAATTTTCTGATTTAAACTTGTCTTTTTCCCACTCCAGACCAGGAACCATTACTCTGCAGGCACCTTCAGAAGCCAATAGAAGACTATGGATGGAAGCCATGGATGGGAAAGAACCTGTAAGTTATCTCAGACCCTCCATCCTCCCCACCCCTTATATAAAAGTGTAACCTCAGCAGCATTCGTCAGTTTATGAGTGCCCTCTAGTGGTTGCTGTGGGGAAATGGTCCTAGCTTATTTAGATTCTAAATCATAGAGCTAGAAGGAATTGTCACTTCCTGAACTCTTGTTTAATTCAACTTGAATTCCAGAGTTGAGGGACTTCCCTAAGATTTGTCTGTTGTAGTATGGATTCTGTAGTTATGCCCACAAGTTCTTAAAAATGAAAAGCACTCCCTCTTCACATTGTGAAATTGCTTTGTCCATCTAGAAGGGTGGGAAAGAGTTGTCATGGATGTGAGTAAGCATCCATTTAGCATCCCTGGAAATGACTTTTCTAAGCTCTCCTGCACCACACACTTAGCTTGCTCTCTTTCAGAATTCACTGTTAGGCAGGTAGAGAGAACAAGTCCTCAGAAGAGTCAGAAGTGGTTCTAGATCTAGAACAACAAAAGCAGAAATCGTTGGAAAGCACTGCCTCTTCAACATCCTTCTAGTAATTTCTTTTAGTGGCATATGCCATAACGTGCCTGTTGGTGTTCGAACTACAGATGCCTGGTCCTGCTTTTCCTGTTACTTGGCGATGACTTTAGCGAATTATTTTTTACTCTCTGTCCCTCAGTTTTCTTCTTGATGAAATCTTTTAAAATGATTTTTATTCTACTTATCTCTCCGAATTACTGTGACCACTCCAGTGGAAACGGTCCTCCAAACAGTAACGGAGTGCTGTCTTAGTTTTGGGTCTTCCTCCCCGGTTGGAAGAACAACTGGAGGACTATTGCAGTGTTTGGGTACAGCTGCACCTCCTTGTTCTTGTCAGGTGAAAAGCTGAAAAGCTAGCCTGCTGGGGGAAACATATTCTTTCTTTGTGTCCTCTGTTCCCTATGGAGGAAAGAGGCATGATCAGGAAGTGAGATGGCTTAGTGGCTCAAGGCGCCTGCCGTCAAGCCTGGGACCTCTCGAGTTCAATTACCTAGTTCCTGCATGGGGGAAGGAGAGAACTGACTGCCGTAAGTTGTCCTCCGACCACCACGTGCTGTGACATGCACACCCCTTTCGTAACACAAATAAAAACGCTAAGTGGAAAAACTAAGAGTGTAGTTGTCATCTCTGAGATTGTTGCTGTAGTAGCTAGTAGAATGAGGTTCCCTTCCTGGAAACCTGACATTTGGCCCTTCCTCGCCTGTGATGCTTCTCTAGGGGATGCTAGGAGCAAGGCATTTGTCTGTCCACTCATACTCCGGCTTCCTTAGGCTCTGGAAGCTCAGAAGAAGTCAGTGGCTTGTTGTGGAGAATGATGCTAAAGCCTAGATCCTCCAAGTCCCAGCCTCACCAGTTTGATTGCCGCTGACTTCCTGAAGCTCTTGTTTGTAAAAAAAAAGTCGCAGCAAAGGCTGCGCAATGCAGAAATGCCTCTTACTGAAATATTCATGAGGGCAGCAACACATACAGCTCTTTTCCTTTCCGAGAGGAAAGCCTGGGTTGAATTCCCTCAGCCTCACCCCACCAGTGTTGCTGCTTCCTTAAACACCAAGTCCACTGATCATACGCACCCGTGCCTATGCCTTTGCTTCAGCTGTCCAAGAGGATCAGGGCTTAAAGTGTCGGGGCCCACAGACGTGAGTCCATTCCACCTTGAATAGAGGTCAGAGGGTTCAAGCTTGTTTTGCTCTTTCAAAGTTGTTGACAAGTGGCTACAAAACAAGAGCCCCTGACCTCAAGTGGTTAATTAGTGTTTTGAGTACAGAGGTGGATCAGCGCCATCTTGACCAAAGGTCAGAGATGCTAGGTTTATTTTTTTCAAGTCTCTTGCCTCCTCCCTCCCCTTTTGGAGTGGGGTATAAAAAGACATGTGGAAAAGAAAAGGGTGGTTCACTATTCACTGAATGTCCTTCCTGATGCTATGCTGTGTTTTGTCTCTTATTTCTCTCTTAGTTCTGTCACTTTTTACTTAATAATTCCAATCCTCACAGGAACGTGCGAATCCATTCGAGGCTGGTCCTTGACACTGAAGGAGCATCTGTTCCCGCCATGATTATTGTACTGACTTTTAGAGGACGGAAAGGGCATGTCCAGTCTCCTAATGATACATGGGCACAACCAGGAAAACAGGAAGCCAAGATCTCCATTCTGGTCTTGTACATAGTTATTGGTTATGTACTTTGAGATGACTCCGAGACATTCGGCCATCTCCTTCAGAAGAACCCTTGCCTTTCCAAAGAGAAGAATCCACTAGCTATTGTCCCAGCAATGCCCATTTTCTGGGTGTCCTTTAGAAGACCACTCCCCTTTTTAATGTGTTGCTCCAGCACAGAAATGCCCTAAGCTTTACCTGGGTAACTGTTTGGCGAGTCAGCTGCAGCTTCAGCTCTGTGAACCGCATGAACACCTAGTACAGTTGAGGGACTTGCGTTTTCTTGGGATCTGGGCAACGATAACTCGGTTTAAGCAAAGCCTTTCCTTTCTTGTTACAGCTCTAGCGTCTCTAAGGATTTTGACAGTGTTTCGAGGGAATGGAATTTAATTCTGTTTGCCCTACTTCTCTGTAGTGAGTCACAGTAATTGAGCCTTCTTGGTTTCTCTTCTTTTGTAGATCTATCACAGCCCTATAACAAAACAGGAAGAAAGTAAGTAATTCCACTTTATATACTCCTCATATTATAAGCGCGAAGCTGGCCCAGTGACAAGGCAGTGCTTGTATTGGTGACGTGTACCATTCATGCAAATCTGTGTAAAATGAAGCCTAGCTCTGGTTTGAAACTGTACATTGACTGAACTAGGGAAGTCAGTTCATTGAAATTTATGGTGTGAATGGTACAGAGGATACGGAGAATATATTATCGCCTCCTGGTTTTAGACAGAGGATCAAAATTGTGTGCATTTCCCCAGCATTTGATATTGTTCATGTTAGGGTAGATGTGACATAAAGGGCTAAATGGAAACACGTTGTGTTTGAAAAGTCTAACCCTACCCTGAGCATGGTGTCCTTCAGTCTCAGGGCATGTGGACATGAACACCTGCCCCACCAGTCCTCTCGCCCTAGTGCCTTCCTGTGACTCTTGCATGTGGGGTAGGAACTTCTTACTGTGCTGTGACCTAACTCTCCTTTCCTTTCCTCAAAACAGTGGAGCTGAATGAAGTGGGGTTCAAGTTCGTCAGGAAATGTATCAATTTTATTGAGACCAAAGGTAAGATCAAAACCATCACCTTGAAGTGGTTGGATTTGGCCACTCTGTTTTTATCCCGAGGAGCTTTCCCGAAAGTGAGAATGACATTATCTGTTAGTCAGGGCCCATCTTTAGGAAGGCAACTTTTTATCCATCTTGTGTTTACCCATCTAATTGGCTGGTAGGCTCTGGAAGTATGGAACCTAAAAATGAGGCGGACTAAAGTCTCATGCAGTAGCCAACTTTATTCAGAGCACCAGACAATTTTCTGTTAAGAAAAGTCATATTAGTAAAATATACAACTCCAAGGACACATGGCAAAACCATGTTTCTCCACAGAGGTGTAATGAATAGTCTGAAGTAAACTCACTGCTATCAGTGTGCATGGGGGAGGTGGGAGGGAACATAAAAGCGTATTCCAAGGATAATTCTGTGTTTTTGAAGAAACTGAGGTCACAAGACTCCTGTTTTCTTGGCATTTTCTCGCAAGCACTCAGAATTCCCCCAGCACAGCTCCACTTTTGAACTGTTTGGCCACCTCTTGTCTACTGGACACATTTGTTTCAATTTAAGTCGGTTCTAAACCGGCTTCCATCATAACACTCCTCACCCAAACACATATATGTAATTTGTGGTTTCCACTTTAAGAGAGCAGAACCCAGCAACGATTTAGAATGTGCGCTGAAATAGTACCTAGTGTTCCTCAAGCAGTTTAGTGATAGTTCCATCCCAAGAGATCCAGGGCTCAGCTTCCATCACGATATCATTTTATTATCAATTTCAAAATTGATAGGGCCAAATCTAAACTCAGGCATGTGTAGAGTCAGCATGCTTCTTCCTGAATCGTTGTCTTTGTTTCCTCCTGAGGATATTTAGAATGCAGGCGGCTGAATGTATGGACCATTACGCTTTCTTTGGAACCTTGCTTTAGCCTTTCTCGGTGTAAAAATGGGAGTTTTGCTTCACATCTTCTGTTCTCCAACCTTCTCCTCTTTTATATCAGAGCTTGGGGACAGCTGGGGGTTAATATCACCTCCTTAGCTTTTAATCGCTAACTCCCTTCCAACATGGCAGACTGTTCTCATCCACCTATTGCGACTCCCCGAAACGTATACCTTTTCTACTATAGAGTGTGCACTCTTCCCTTCCGATTCATAGGGAATAGGTCCAATCAAATCAAGTTCTGGATGATTTTTAGATATGACTAGGATGGTAGGGCTGTTTCTCTGTAACAGGAGGGCTGCAGAACTCGAAGAGAGGAGGCCTCTTTGTTGTCTGTGAACTGCCACCAGTGTACAAGGGCTTCCTTTTTCTGCCTTGGGGAATGTCAACGCTGGAGCTATACTAACAAAGATGACCTGGTTTTCTTTTCCTAGGGATCAAGACAGAAGGGTTGTACCGCACAGTGGGCAGCAACATCCAGGTTCAGAAGCTGCTCAATGCCTTTTTTGGTAACAATTTTACATACTTCTAATTGGGAATGGTTTATATGGAAACAAACGGGATGGAAAGAGAAAGAAGACATTTCTTAGGAAGGTCGAAGAATGTTAAATTTGAGTTGTAGTCTTGTTTTGCTGCCCAGGCTAATCCCAAACTCCTAGACTCAAGCAACCGTCCTGCCTCAGCCTCTCAAGTCGTGCCATTCTAACTGGCCTGTAGAATATTACAAAATGTTTTCAGCAGTGAAACAGACAAATATTTTGCACACCTTGGGTCAGAGACCATCATGCATTGAATAAACATCGGTCACCTCTCATCCCATCCACTCCTCAGTCTCTAGGAAATCCAGTTCTACCACCGCCTCTTTGCTGGAACTTCTCTGGCCATGATGCTTGCGTGTGCGCTTGCCAAATCCAAGGAGCACTCCAGTCTGTCTTACTTGCTCTCTGCTTGAATACTGTCTTCTTTCTGGGAACTGTCCCCTTACTTGACTCCCATGATACAATACTCTACTCATCCTTTGAACACTTTGTGTTACTCTTTTGTCAGTGACTCTTCCTGGATTCCGTTTCCCCTTCCTCCTACAATTTAAAATTCTAAAGGTATTTCCCAGAGTTCTAACTTGGCATGCCTTTATGTTTTCCTCTACTGAGTGATATTTATCCTGAGTTACATTTTCCTTTTAATAGTGTGCGTGTACATGTACGTGTGTGTATATCTATCTTTATTGAATATTGACTGTTAGGACTTAGTGAGTGTCTTATTTTCATTGAGCAAAAGACCATTGAGGTAGGTTTCGTTGGGTGTGTGTGTGTTGGGTTTTGTTGTTGTTGTTTTGTTTTTCTGTGGGTAATTATCAACTCATGTTTTTTTTTTTTTTTTGTAAGTTTGTTAGACCAAACATAAAGTATTCTCTACTGGCTTGTTTAGACCTGCTAGTAATTCTTAACTTTTCTTGTGTCTTCATTCTTATTGACTTGAACACCAATTTGGGGCTGGAGAGAGGTTTCAGTGGGTAAAGCAATTGCCACACGAGCCCAAGGACTTGAATCTGGGCCCCTAGCACTCATGTAAAAGCCAGATAAGGTAGGGACCATCTACAGTCCCCGTGCATCTGTAGCACAATGAGAGGTGGAGACAGGAGAATTCCTGGAAGCCTTGGGGCCTGCTAGCCTGGCCATGACTCAGTGAAGAAGAGACTGTCTCAGAAAGATGGGATGGTGAGGACCAGCACCGATGAGTGTGCCCTGACCTCTGCATGTGAGTCATGGCATGCACAATTCTACACGCAGGCACACACAATCACACACACAAACACAAACGTACAAACTACATACATACATATCACACACACATTTTTAAAAAGAGCACAAATGTCTACTAGCTTCGTGAATTCTTGGCATTTTTCAGCATAATTATTTTTTTTGCCTAGCCTGTGGAGTTTTACCCTGGGTTTATTATTTATACAAGGCTTTGTATTTAGCAGTTGACTCAAGAGATTTTGGCCACTGCTCTCTCTACATAGAGCCTTCTTCTTTTGTACTTTGCTGCATACATTTTTCTTATTTCTTGTAGTGCTGGGGATGGATTTGAAGGCTTCATGCATCCTAGGAGAATCTTCTACCACTAAGGACTATCCTCAGCCCATGCTGAGGAAATTCTGGCTAGCTAAGCTTCGTTTTTTTTTCTTCTTCTTCTGAAAAAGGTCACGTGAGCAAGACCTTAGCTTGATCTCTAACTCACTTTGTTATCCATAAAGTCTTTTCCTTTGTCACGCTGTGGCGATGGTTGTAGGGCTTTTCTTCTGAGCACATTTTCTCACTCACAGTCCTGTGCTTGCTATTCAGTGACTAAAAGCAGTAGCTTCATATAGTTTGTCCTATCTTCTAATAGTTATGGCAAGACAATAGATCTTGTGCCAGTGGCCCTACTGTGTCTGGGAGTGAAAATCCCTCTATGTGTTTGGTACTAGCACCTATGGGCTGAAATCTCAGCATTTCCATCCAGACATCTCCTAAGTCCTAGAACGCATCTGCTGCCAATTAACCCTGTGATTCTCAGTCTTACCTTGGTCCTGCCACATGAGGATGTGGGCAGACTGTCAGCATTGTGTCGGTATAGCACACAGGTAATAACCAAGACAGTAAACTGTAAAGCTCAAGAAATCAATACTAGAATCTCCGCACAAGCGCTCTCCGTGTAGATGGATGGTCCACAGGTGCCTACCTATATTTTCCATGACCCAAATGAAACTCACCCTTTTTTTTTCACTATAGCCCCGTGCATCTTCCTTTTGTGAGTGACGGTGAGGTAGCTGGTAAGCTTCGATTCTGTGAAGTGTCAGAGAATGAGTTGTGTGGAAAGCTGAAGCTCAGATAAAGTGCATAGCTTTCAGATTTCCTTTAAATGTGGCCAAGGGGAATGGAGGAGACAGGTAAAATTGAGGTTGTCAATCAGGTGCTCTTGACATGGAATTTTCTCTGATTATCCTGGAAGACTGTGTGTAATTCACAGGGGCTTTAACGTGGGAGGGAAATTCAGGAAAGAGAGTACCTGAGAGACAGCACATGAATATTCAGCCCCGTGCTTTCAGAAGACAAGGAGCTGAAAAAGCAGAGCTGCAAAAGCCGAGGAATAAAGTTTCCTCTCTAGAAGAGCTGCAGTACGTCTACGACCCACTGCTAGCTCCATTTACATATACTGTTTATAGGAGACCCTTTGCACTTAATTTGTTAACTTTATTCCCATAAGCTCTCATTATAACCGTTATCACTTAATTTGCTGACTTCATTCCCATGAGCTCTCATTATAACCATTATCCATGTATTTTTTTTTTCCAGTATAATGTCTTAAAACTGCTGGAGCCTCAAATCAGTTTCTTTATGTAATCAGCTAAACTGCCTGAAATTATTGGAATGCACAGCAACCATTATTCCCATTTTTATTAGCTCACCAACTCTATGTGTGGCTTCATAAAAATGGAAATGTCATTCTCCTACTTTATTCTCCATAGAAATGGAAATGTCTGTGTGGCTGGGCAGAGCTTTGCAATGCACTTTGCTCTAGCACAGTGTATACACGTATATTTACAAGTCCTGTGTTTAAAAGAAACATTGAGATGAAAAATTTCAGTAATGCACAAGGGGGAAAATTTTGCCCCCTGCTGCCTACTGCTTTAAGTCTGGAAAAAAAAATCCATGCTGATTATTCTATAACACTTGGTTTCTTGGCAACTGGAACTCCACTGTATGGAATGCTGCTCTGTGACCTCAGTCTGGGATTGACATTGCATCACAGGTCTCTGTCCTGGAGGATTGGACTTCCTTCCACGGCTTTACCCCTCTGGTCTACGGACTTAAATTTGTGAAACTGTTTACCTTAGAAATTAGAATAGTGGCAGTGCTTTGTGCAGAACAAAGAGTCCAGGGAAAGGAACCTGCTTCTTGAGGGTAAGACAAATTAGGCGAGGGTCAGGCAGCACTCATTGGACGTAGTTGAGACATGTTGGCATTGCCAGGGAATAGAGGAATCTAAAACTTTGTTACAAAAGAGTATTAGCAATTGCCAATTACTCATTCAAAAGTATTACTCGTTCATCTTGAGTAACTGTAAATAATTCACTATTTCCTTCATTTGTAGGGATTTCTTCAACCCAGTTCATTTTTTCTTTGATTTTTTTTTTTTTATTTTTGAGGCTGTAATTTAATTCCAGCATCTTCCCCTTTCCTCCCTTAAACCCTCCCATTTGGCCCTCCTCACTCTTCTTCAAATTCGTGACTGCTTTTTGCATCAATTGTTATTACATACATATATGTATTTGTATATACACAGGTATTTCTAAATATAAAGTGCTAAGTTCACATAATGTTACTTGAATGTATGTTTTCAGGGCTGGCCATTTGGCAATGGACAACCAATTGGTGTGCTCTTCCCTCAGGTGCACCCCTTCCCCCCTCCCAGCTTTGCTCGGTTGCCTGTAAGTTCATAGTGCAGGGTTAGAGGGCTCATCGACGTTTCCCCGCCTGGTTTGGCGTGTTTATTGTTGCCCTCCTTTGTAAGGTCATGTTTGAATAGTCATGTTTGTTTTGTTTTTCAAGACAGGGTTTCTCTGTGAAACAGCCTTAGCTGTCCTGGAACTAGCCCTTGTAGACCCCTTCTGATATTACAAGGAGACACAATCTCACAGTAAAGTCCTTCTTTTTTTTTTTTTTTTTTTATTTTCGAGACAGGGTTTCTCTGTAGCTTTTGATTCCTGTCCTGGAACTAGCTCTTGTAGACCAGGCTGGCCTCAAACTCACAGAGATCCACCTGCCTCTGCCTCCTGAGTTCTGGGATTAAATAAAGTCCTTAATTATCTGTAAATTATAATCTTTTTGCCCCTCTTTCACAATATCCTCTTTGGGTTGGGTTTCACATCTCTGCATTTGGATTGGTTGTAATTTTCTGTAGCAGTCTCTTTCTCTTGCAAAGAGAAATGTCCTTGATGGGGAGGATGCCAACACTTACCTGTAGATAGAAGGATGAATGCTTATATATTACTCTTCGGGATTATGCTGGTTTAGTTATTGTGGAGCAGGTGTTAGGTACGCTCAGAGAGAAGCTGGACACCACCTAGGTATGTGTGCAAGTTATCTGTGCAGTAAGATGTCGAGTCCTTTGGGTATATGCCAAAGAGTGCTATCGCTGTTACCCTCTTGATTTCTGTTGATGTTCTGGAGTCCCCAGATCCTCCATCTGAAGCCACTGCATGCAGATGAACTGTTCCAGAACACATGCTACATATTATTGAGTACCTTTAAGTGCCAGCTACTATGTTGGGTGACGGGGACATAGTGTTGAAAGAGACAGACAAATCTCTGCTCTCAGTGAGCTTATAATGTAGCAGCACTTATGGGTCATCGATGATCATATCTTTTCCTCTCAAAATAAATTAATACTGTCCCAGTTCTAGGACCTTGTTGTTCTGCATTAGGATATAAAACTATGTAGGTGGGCTGCCCGTAATGGTGTG